TTCCTATTTTTATAAGGCTACTATGTTGGTCAAAAGACAATATTTTTTCTATGCTACAGAACATAAAACAAGAGGAAGAACATTTTCTGTATTCAGTCAATTCTAATAAACAGGTGTCCTGAAGTCTGCTCTGGTTAAAAATCACTAGATGTCCGAAATTAAAAACTAAAGAAATTAACCTGGTGAAGGAAGACTCTGCTTTCAGTGAAAATTTCAGTCTAAAAAATATTTTTAACATATTTATCTGAATAAGTGTCAATAATGGCAGGCAAACATGTACCATTTATGATGTGAGGTGTAGTGGGCTGTACAAAATGATTGCAAAGGCTGGTAGATTGGACAGAACTGATCGAAACCACTTTATTGTAGCCCTGGCTGAATGTTAAGTGGTGTTACCCTGCTGGACGGTGAGGCTAACAAAGATACAGAGAATATATTGTCTTATTTCCTGTCTTTACTTTTCAGCATATATATATATATATAAAAAAAATGAAAATCTAAAAACAATTCCCTAAAATTTGTAGATGTAATATGTAAAGTATTTAAATGGTGTGAATCTTTAGAGGCACTGAGCACATATGATTAAATAATAAACAAAAAAGATTTTATTCACTTCAGGTTTTACAAAAGAAGACAATAATAGGGAAGCTATATTTCCTCACTTTAAGTATAAAAGCAAAAACAGTAGAAAGAAACAGCTGTAGGCATTTTTTACCTGAGGTTGGATGGATCAATTGATGCTTTGATGTCATTCAGGGAATCCGTTAAAGATTTAAACTCAAATGAATTCAGATCTCCTCCATCTGCAAGACACTGAAACGAACCAGGAGAAAAATAAGGCTGTGCCACACTAGTAGAACCAGTCTAAGTCTGTAATGGGAGCCAGAGAGGAGAACAACAAAACTATCCTCCACCTTGATCTGTAGTAGCAAAGCAGTGAGACTGGAGATAAGGTGTGTGAGGCCGGGGTTCGTTGCGCTGGGGTGCCCGTCCCTCTGCATGTTCCTCAGCTGCACCATCTGCTGAGCCTCTTCCTCGCAACGCCGCCGCAGGTCTGTGGGATGGTCTGCTGGAACCATGCCCTGATCAGGAGAGAGCTGGACACATAAACAGCTCTAAGTAACACAAAGTCCCTTCTGGTATACGTTGTGGGATTTAAAAGAAATCTTATTTCCACAGCCTAAATAACTTGCAGTGGATCCTTTGACTTACTTCACAACAGAACTGCTGAACCTCTTGAAGCACCTTGTTTAGATCTTTATTGAGTTGCTCTAGCTCAAGCACAGTGGCAGCATATCGCTTCTGAAAGTCCAGGTCAATAGGCATGGAGTAGGACTTCTGAAAGGAGGAAAACACGCATGCAAATAGGTTAAGCTCCTCGTCTTCTAAGGGTTTAAAGTTGCGTCAGTGAAAGACTTTACCAGTTTCTCTGCTTCTGTGTTCATTTCTTTTAAGTGCTTTATGTGTTCCTTTTTGATCATGAGGATTTTAGACAGCCTGGTCTGAAAAAGCAAAAAAAAAAAAACCTCAATGTGTTAAAGGTGGTGCTGATTTTGAATTATGCCATTTCTTTTGTCAGGAAATACTTACAACTTGGACCAGGAATTTTACAGGAAACCCCCCCAGTGTTTCCCTCTCTGTGCTGGGCAGCTTATTTGTCCACGGTGAAGCGTTCATGAGAGGATCGTTGTCCTGTTTTTTGAAAGCAGATTTTTTTTTTATGTTTAGAAGTTTCGAAATTGCTTTGTTGTATAATGATGCCCTTTGGTTTACAGACTAAGACCAAAGAACCTATGCTGTTAAAAAAACAAGTATGACCTTAATTAAAATACTCAAAGAAATTCAAAGAACACTTTGTAATCAGAGTATAGAATCAAGTTAATTAAACTTCTGGGATATTGATTTGGTCAGGTAAGTAGCAGAGGTGGTTGTTAATCAGTTTCAGCTGCTTTGGTGTTAATGAAATTAACAACAGGTGCACTAGAGGGGCAACAACGAGACGACCATCAAAACAGGAATGGTTTTACAGGTGGAGGCCAATAATATTTTTTTCCCTCTTCATTTCTTCTGTGTCTTTTTCACCACTTTTGCATTTGGCTAGGGTCACTGTCACTACCGTTAGCATGAGGCGCTACCTGGACCCTACAGATGCACAGGCAGTCCAACTCCTCCAGGATGGCACATCAATACGTGCCATTGCCAGGTTTGCTGTGTCTCCCAGCACAATCTCCAGAGCATGGAGGAGATTCCAGGAGACAGGCAGTTACTCCAGAGAGCTGGACAGGGCTGTAGAAGGTCTACAACCCATCAGCAGGCCCACTATCTGCTCCTTTGTGCAAGGAGGAGCAGGAGGAGCACTGCCAGAGCCCTAGAAAATTACCTCCAGCAGGCAACTGGTGTGAATGTCTCTGACCAAACAATGAGAAACAGACTTCATGAGGGTGGCCTAAGGGCCCGACATCCTCTAGTGGGCCCTGTGCTCACTGCCTGGCACCGTGGAGCTGGATTGGCATTTGCCACAGAACACCGGAATTGGCAAGTCCGCCACTGGCGCCCTGTGCTTTTCACAGATTACAGCAGGTTCACCCTGAGCACATGTGACAGACATGAAAGGGTCCGGAGAAGCCGTTGAGAACGTTACGCTGCCTGTAACATTGTTAAGCATGAGCGGTTTGGTGGTGGGTCAGTGATGGTCTGACCTATACAGGCTAGACAAAGGCAGCCTGACTGCCATTAGGTAACGGGATGAAACCCTTGCACCCATTATCAGACCCTATGCTGGTGCAGAGGGTTCTGGGTTCTTCCTGGTGCACCACATTGCCCGGCCTCATGTGGCGAGAGTATGCAGGCAGTTCCTGGAGGATGAAGGAATTGATTGGCCCCCACGCTCGCCTGACCTAAATCCAATAGAACACCTCTGGGACATTATGTGTCGATCCATCTGATGCCGCCAGGCTGCACCTCAGACTGTCCAGGAGCTCAGTGATGCCCCGGTCCAGATCTGGGAGGAGATACCCCAGGACACCATTCGTCGTCTCTTTAGGAGCATGCCCGACGTTGTCAGGCATGCATACACGCAGGTGGGGGCCATACAAATTACTGAATACCATTTTGAGTTGCTGCAATGAAATTTCAGCAAAATGGACTAGCCTGCTGCATAATTTTTTCACTGTAATTTTTAGGGTGTCTTGAATTCAGCCCTCTGTAGGTTAATAATGTTCATTTCCATCAAATGATGTGGCATCCTTTTGTTCCTAACACATCACCCAGTCAGTATCAGTATAAATAAACAGCATGATTTCTTTCCCTATTGAGATCTGATGTGTTTTCAAAGTGTTCCTTCAATTTTTTGAGCAGTGTAGTTTGGAACAATGCTCTTCTAGCTGGTCCATCTTTACGAGTCGTTTTCCAATGGTGGTCATACGAACAAGACAAGCTGGTAAGTTACCAAACAGGACATACAGATAGTGGCCATCAGTTGGATGAGGAAAGGGAATGAATAGTAGCAAATATTGGAATAGTAGCAAATATGATAAGCTAGCCAAGTAGGAAAGAGATTTATTTGATACAATCTTGAATAAAGTTTGTGTTTGCTATTTAAAAAAAAATTCTACAGGAACTGTTTTAACAAACAATGTGAAAAAAAATAACCCAGAAATGTCATCATTTGAAGGTTTACCATTTGAACAGGAGTGGTAACAGTTGGGTAGGGCGGTCGAGGAGGAGTCATGAGGTTCTGCATGTAGCGTGAGGACCGATGCTTCTGTGCGAAGGCAGAGATGGGCATCGTCTCATTGGGCTCGTTGCTCTGATAAACACAAACATAATTCAGTAAAAAAACTTTTGCACTTGTTAAGAGTAGTTTGACTGCTTTGGTGTTATTTCATCAGTAACAGATGAAGGCAAACGCTTTACCAGGACTTCGTAATCAGGCACAGTGTGAGTTCCCAGGCCGTTGCGGTCGAAGGTGACTCGATAAGTTGCAGCACTGGTGTCAACGGCATCAATCTGCCCGGTGAAAAGGCCGTCATGGACCCCTCGAAGCCGAGCTGGTAAACAAACAAAAAAAAATCTATTTGATTACAGTCGTTGGACTGAGGTGGGATTCCTCTCTGCGGGCGTTCATCCCAGTCATCTAACCTGTGACTTTCGTTCCTATGATGAGTGGCAACGGGATTTCATCAGGAAGGTCTTTGCAAGTTGAAACATCTGACAACTTTCTTTGCTGTAGGAGCCGCATCTTCTGACGCTTCTGTTTCAGAGCTGTTCGCTCTTCAGCAAAGAAGGCTGACGAACACCTAGGGAAGCCAAGAAAGCGATTTCACTTTTTGCTTTTAGATTTCAGAGCTATTCAGGACAAAACATGAATAAATGAAAATCTGATGATTAATCCTTAATTGTACAGATCAGAGCGTACCGCCTCGGTTTCCCCATCAGCCTCCTGATTGTTCCCCACTCAACTCGAGTCAGTTTTCTTGTTTTCAGGTTGGGAAAAGATTCCTTGAGGCACAAACAAAATTCATTGTCGCCTTCAAAGAGAGGTCTGGAAAAAGAAAGAAGGGTGGAAATTATTTCATTACTAATTCATAACATGTTTATACTTCACAAAGATACATATACATTTTCAATAAATTATATTCACATTTATTTTGCTTTAATGGTGAGATGTAATATTTAAATCTTGAATGTTTTTTCATTAGCTGTAAGAGGAAAAAAAAACACTTTTTAATAAAACTAAATGGTTTATAACGGTGTATTTTAAAAATCTTTATGGTTTCCTCTGAGATTTCATAGTTACTGAAACTAACAAAGGTTTAAATAGCTGGATTTGGTGAATATGATTGTACATAAATGGTTAACAGGATGATAATGTCCATGTGTTCAAACTAAGCTACAGTTTTCTGTATCAATTGTGGCTAAAATGACAACCAGAGCTCACATCTTTTAAGCGTTAATCATCATGTATCGTTTATGTATAGCAACATTCAAATATTCACAAAAAAGGGTGAGAATTTACCTGTCAATATTGGAATAAAACCATTCATAGATGCACCATTTATGAGCCTTTGGTAGCTTTAGGAGGTTTCTCAATCTCAGACCTATTTTTTGTGACGCCTTCTTATCTGGTGTTATGATGTTAGAAAACTTCTGCAAGACAAGTAAAAAAAAAAGTAATTTAAATGACAATAAAATAACCATTTATTTTATCAACTCACGACAATGCTAATTTGTAGCAGCAGGAAAAATTAATGATTTTTAAAGGGTAACCATGGAAAAACAAACTTTGTCACAGAAGAAGGTAGATCAATTTAAAATATGTATAAATTCTTAGTTTGTTTGAAGAAACGGTCAAAATTAGGGAGTTGAGGTCATTCTTATGCAACTTTTAATGAATTTTAGCCGTGTCAATACTTGTTTTTAGTTGCCAAGTTTCAGTGAAGTCCAAAATATAATATCTAGAGCCGAAATAATTACTGTCACTTTGCACCTTTCCAGACATGAGGCATTTTCAAAATGTACCAGACTATGAAGGTAGGTATGAATACCTCAGTTCTCCTCTGTAATTACGAAGTAGCTTTTCACCTGTGGTGTAGTGGAGACTCTCTGGCTCCTCCGAGGAGATCTGGAGGTGATTCGCTGCTGCGGAGGTTCATCTTCATCCCGAAACAAACGGCTTCTCTTTGAACTCCGCGTGGGCTGCGGAGACAAATGGAAGCTTTCACAATCCTGCTGATCTAACAGATTATTGTAACAGAACCTCACACGGAAACATGGACACTGTCCATCTGGACAAAATCTCACCATGCATAACACTGGACTGTTGTCAGCTAAATAAGAACTCATGATAATAAAAAATCTTTTGTAGCTTTATAATCATTCTGTTTGAGAACATGGAGCATAAATCCACACATAGAAAAATACAGACTGCAAAGAATAAAAAAAAAATTATTTCAGCTGATTTTCAGTTATACACTTTTAAGTTACACAGAGTACTTCCCTTATAAATGTGATGCAAGTAAAATACAATTAAAGACAAAGGAGAGATGGTGATCGACTTCAGGAGAAGACGCCCACCTCACTCCCCCGTGAACATCCAGGGGCAGGGCATAGAAACCGCGAAGAGTTTCAAATACCTTGGTGTTCATGTCAACAATAAACTGGACTGGACTCATAACACAAACGCCCTAAACAAGAAGGGCCAGAGGCTCTTCCACCTCGTGAGGAGGATGAGGTCCTTTTGAGTGAGCAGGCCCCTGCTTAAAACTTTCTATGACCAATGGCCTCAGCCCTCTTCTATGCTGACGTCTGAAAGAGACTGAACAAGCTGGTGCGGAGGGCCACTTCTATCCTGGGCTGCGCTCTGGAGTCGGTGGAGGAAGTGGCCGAGAAGAGGGTGCCGTCCAAGCTTACATCCATCGTGGACAACACCTTCCACCCCCTGCACCAGACTGTAAAGGAGCTGAGCAGCTCCTTTAGTAACAGACTTATATGCCCAGTGTATAAGTGCCATTAATCTTTACAATGCCACTGCTCTATAACCTGGTGTAATAACACTGCAATAACTCATACTATTTATCTATTTAACAAACCAGAAACAGCACTTTACCTGCCACCACTTTACTGTACATAAGATACTGTACATTTGCAAGTCCCCTTAAATCTCTCCTTTATGTTTTACCATCCACTGGGTATATATATATCTTGATGCACTTTAAAGGGTTTATGCAACTTTTATTCCTTTGTGCACCTTCTGTTTGTTTATAAAAGCTGATGTCACAAGTGAATTTCTCCATTGTGAGATCAATAAAGTTCTATTGTGTTCTGGCTTTTTTTCTGCATAATAATAAATACCAAGTTGGATTCAAATAGTTATCAGGCATTGCCCTTAATCATAATATTAGGACCCTCCTCTTCCCTCCTACCGTTTCCATTGTGACGGAGGAATGTCGCCCCCTGGTGTTGTGAGCTCTCGTGAAGCTGTTCTTCTCATTTAATGTGTTGGACAAACTGCCCTCTGTAAAAAAGTCAGGGGGTCATAAAAAAAAAAAAAACATCACTACCAAACACAGATGACGGGTTTAATAGTAGAAAAAAAAAATTTTTTTTTTCTCCCCTCTAAAGCATCAACACAATATAAACAAAATTACTATCACAATTTAAAACCACAGTAAAACAACAATTTACAAATCAGATCATAGGTTTGAAGGTTTTTTTTTTCCCCTCAGCCAATAAACACCTCTAACTATAAGACAGACCAAATACACAGCATGCAAACTAAAGCAGGAGAAAAACTGTAGAGGCAAACAAACTGACAACAAACCTTTTAGACTGACGAGGGCCTCTGCTGAGGAACCTGTTGTAGAAAGAATGAACTATATGAAAATGATAGCAATAAACGACACAGAAACGTAAACGCTGTGGTGAAACAGTGAACCAGACCAGCTGATAACTGATGCAGAGAGAAATTTTACATTTTCTCCAAATATAGTATATATTTTTTTTTTATATATACACATGCTATAGGTCTCCCAAATAACATCCCTTATGGTAAGAAGTTGTTACTAAAACACTTAAAAGATTTAAAAGCAAGCATTTTTACTATTAAAGCAGAGTGTAAAACTATATTCAGAAGAAACAAAAAGAAATTCAACATATCTCAAAGGACAGTAATTCTACAGAGATGTCAGCTCAGCTGTTCATAAAGGAGGAGATCGACTAGAGCAGATTATAGGGAAGTCAACAAAGTTGCTCACGTTCAACCTTTAAACCTTTAAAAGTTAGATTTTTTGGTCACATGACATGATAAATCAGAGAAAGTTGTGAGTATTTTGGAAATCTTACCATTTTAGTTATGGTTCTTCTTTATTAAAGGAAAGGGTTTTTACAATATTTGATCGAGTAACATAAAATTCCATTAAAATTATAAAGACAGGCTTTAAAATGCAATAAGATAAAGGATTTTGCCTGTGGGCGAATATTAGTTTAGCACTTACACAAGAAAACACAGAGATTGCAGCTGATCATGTAAAGTTGACTTGTTTTGTGCTTGTACTGAAACATATCTGCACTGGGGCTGAAACAATCTGATTAATGGTGATTAAAGGATTATTGAAATAATGGTCAACTAATTTAGTAATCAATTAATCGTTAACTAGAGTGTAGAGACTCTAAAACAGGCTTTTAGCTGACAGAGCAAACCACTTCAAGCAGTAATTACATCATTTTGTCTGTCAATATGCTCTATCCAGAACTCCTCGTGTGGAAAAGTTTCACTTGGTTTTCTTTTTTAAGGAGCTTTTTGCTATCTGATTAATAATCGATAAATCGAATAAATAACGGACAGATTTATGAATTTCGTTAGTTTGCATACTTATACACTACTGCAAATACAAAGATACATAGCTAGTTGAAAAGGAAATCAGCTGCAGGGCTGGGTAACATTTATTTCTCTCTCTCCAATTTTCTTTTTAATGATCTTTAACATTTATTCTTCAGATCTTCCCTGATTTTATTTTAAAAAAAGGTACTCAGTTCAACTTAGTATTGTTAAGTCACTGACAGATCAGTGATGCTGAGAGAAATTCTGCCCATAAACTGGGATTTTCTGAGAAGCTTGCTGGTGTTTTAAATATAATTCTCTTAACACTGAATAGTTGACCTAGTTCTAGTTTCACAAAAGTAGAGAAAATATCTTATTTATACCTCTCAAAATATTAATTAGAAACAACAAAACCAACTTGTCCCCAAATTAAAATAAATCAATAACTGGAATAATCTCAGCTACCAGTGTTGCAACAAATGACAAATAGATTTTAAGCTATACTTTTCAGATTGAAATTAATCTATAGGGATATCCTTAAATTAATAACGTATAGATCTCCAGAACCACTGACTGATCCTAGGCGGACCTTTTCACAGTGACAGCATCCGAACAGTTTGATCACAAATAGCTGACGGATTCATTGAGGCCTTAACCCCCAGGATTCAGCTGTCAAATGGCTGTAACGTAATAAAACGGCATTAAAGCAGATAACGTTAATGCGTTATAATGCGCTTATAACATTTAGCTGACCCACAAACGACAGTTTCAGATGTTAGCAGACAAAACACTAAATTAAGTCAAACGTATCGTCTATATAGGTAAAAATGACCGTAGCTAACAAACCGTTTGGACTGAACTAAGCAACCGCCAGAAAGAGAATTAAAACTATATCCAAGTACAAAAATTAATACGCTATAGCTACCTTCATCTTTGTAGTTCTTTTGTTATTGCTAATAGGGTCTTGAAGTTAGCATCGGTTAGCTCCAAGCTAAGCTAATGGTATTTGTTTATCCGGTTGGGTTGAAAACTTGTTCAACTCTAACGTTAGCTTTGGCTAGCCTGCCGTGCTAACAAATGGTAGCTGACTAGAACAAACCGGCAAATCTAGGTTTAAATCGGACTTCATTAAGTCAAACCAAGACAGCAGTATTTATTTTACATGGATGCAACGTTAGCATTTCGTCCGCTCTTTATATTTTCACCACAGCACCCCGTCTGGTTCAAGCTGCAAAACTGTGAAAATTGTGTTTTTACTCACTCTCATCTAACAGCTGGTCCATCTCCGCCATCTTGAATTAGCCGCGCTGCTTTTTCAAAGACGTTGTCAAAATGCATTCTGGGTGGGAAATCTGTGTGGAGGGTGATTTGAGGGGATAAACATTGAATAAAAAAAACCTGCTCCTTGGAAGTTGTTTTCTTTGATTTAATTATGTCATTTACTAACTTTACCTTACACACATTCGCAATTTGAGTTGGAATTTTGACCGGAAACAGTTGAAATATGTCAGGAATAATAACAAACCCAGATTCAGCCCAGCATCACTGCAAACCGATCAAATATTCTGGGATCTACAAATTGTTATCATTTATTACACATACCTTAATTTAATTTTCCTAACTAAAAACCGAGAGTGACTCATAGTTCTGAAATACATCATAATAAAGGTAAAAGATTTTTAGATTATGAGATCAAAACAGGTGACGACTGTAAATGGTTAGAAAATACATTTTGAAATAATCCACCTAATCAGACCTAATAAAGAATTTAGGTTCAGGTAATTTAGTTTGAAAAATACTTTACTAGTTTTCTATAATGAACTAGTCAAACAAAAAACCTGACAAAAGTAATGTTGCTTTATAGAGTAACGTTCTGTCAAAGTGCAATAAGTGGCAAAAACCGCAAATTACATTGGAAAATGTTATAGTAGAAGAGCAGAAGGCTCTTTGTCAATGAAATCAAAATAATTTATTCAGCTGCACTGAACGAGGCAGAAAATGTATTTTTAATTAATGAGATTAACACCCCAGCTCTACTTTATCCATCTTATGGTAAATAGCACTACTAAGGTGATAACAGGGGAACAAGTCTAATTAAGTACCACTTGATTAAAAAAACAAAAACAAAAAAAAAACATTTTGTAATGTCAGATCAACAAACCTCACGGTAAGCATTGTAAAAAGCATTATGCAGCACCTAATCTGTATTAGCATCAACCTTTTACAAAATCTCTTTCAGACGATCTATTAAAATGGTGTAAAATGTTTTGCTTGGAGGTAAATTATGGTTTAATATTTTCCCACAAATAGAAATTGGAAACTTCACAGTAAATTCCACAAATTTGTTAATGTTAAATACGCATTGTCAAAGTACATTTACTCTTTTAGTTATTACAACAATTGGAATGAGATATAAACTGTGTAGAGTGTTAATTTAACACTAATTCAGAGTGGGACCAAATGCACATGGACTGGCGTTAAATTTAACTCTTAAAGTGTTATTTTAACACTGCAACATTAACTTAAACTTTTAACTTGATAATTCTAAATAAAAAGCCCCAAAACCACCTTTTGACTTATGTGTAGATTCCTTTGCCGTGCCATCTATTCTTATTTGTATAAATTTATCTTTGCTGTAAAAAGATATAAAGTGAGCAAAACTAGCATTGTGTCTTATTTCAAATTGGTGACAGCAGCCTTTACTTTTCAGTCATCTTGAGCGTTGCTTCTTAAATTTGTCTTGTTTTGCAAAATCACTTAAGAACATTTGCCTAGTATGGCAAATTCCAGCCTTTATTACTAATGTAATTAATATTGACAAAATCATAACTGTCTGCTATTCCTAGCCTGCAGCTAAAAAGAACCTGCAGTATTTTCTAAAAATATTGAACACATATTTGAATTAAATCTACAATGTACAAAAACTAAAACATACCTGCTGCAGAAAAAAAATCAATGTTCCATTAATGTCACTTGTATGTGGAGATTATTTGGATATATGACATTAAATTGCTAAAAAGAAACTACATTTGTATTTAAAAGCACAATTGTTTGCAAAGGTAACCAGAGCAGCTGAGGAAAGCCAGGAGCCACATACATCTTTGGAGTTGCAGGTTGTAGGTTTAGTGTAAGCAAACAATATCCAGTGTGAAGCAAGGTGATGGAAGCATCATTCTTTGGAGATGCCTTTATTCAGCAGGGATGCCTCTCAGGGTTGAGAAAAATATGGATGAAACTAAATACAGGGTAATACTGGGAAATAAGCAAGACTATAAAGAGAGTGGGTTAGAGGTTCGTATTTCTGTAGGGTGATTGAACTTCAGATAGTTTAGATCAAAGCATTTTTGAGTGTTGGTATGACGCTTAGATGTTCTGATTCTGATTGCATACATTTCAACCCTGTAAAAACACCCCAGCAGTAAAAACAATGAAAAGTTGTTCTATAAAATATTTTCTTTTCCATCTAGCCCTGTGTTGACCAGTTTTATAAAATCACACCCAGATTTGAGGGTAAATACGTTTTTTCCCCTTTAAATGACCTTGACACTTTTATAAGTCGCTTTGAGGATTATATGAGGTACATTTTAAGTCAAAAATCAACTTTAATATCTAGTTAATATCACTACTAGTGTGGTTAACTCTGAGCCAGTTCATGACCAGTGAGATCAGTAAGAATAAAGACAAATGTTTTAGGATGTACCTTGTTTTATTGCAATGAGGTTTAAGCAGGAAAAAGTGAACCTTTAAAGGGGAAGACGGATTTAGATAGAAAGAAACTAACCAAATATTTACATGTCAAACTTTTAAACAGTCTACAAAATGCTTAACAGATTGTAATGTTAGAGAAAAAACATGAGAACAGGTAAGCATGCAGATGTCCTGGTCAGGGTTCAGAGCACGTTTTAAATGTGAACAAGGCGTCTTATCAAGTCACTTAATTAAACATCGTTATATTCCTCTTTATGACCATTAATTCCTGAAATTAGACTTCTTCCTTCACTGTTGTGTCCACGGCTCATGAACTAACTCTTGATGTCCAGTGTTATGAGAACGCCCCAGTGGCTTTTATCTACTGTATTCTAACAAACGTTGCTGGCTACAGATCCTGGTGAAAAACAAAGAAAATGAAACTATTTCACATGGACACGATGGGGGCATAGAACAGCATCACATAGGCATTGCTGTAGAGAATTAAGTCAAGACTGATGCAACTTATTTTCCTTGAAGGGTTCCGATCCAGTCCTTTTTTGTTGTTTACCACAGAGACGTCTGGTAGTTAAACCTGATCTTTAGGAGATACTTCAAGTTTATTTGAGCCACATCATATACGATGTACCTGGAGGAGTGATGTTAAGGAAAGCAGCATGGGTAATGTAGTCCAGCACATTAGAAATGATTTATAAAGGGAAGCTACTTATGTCATAGCCTACATTCAGAGAACTGGTTAGAATAAGATTAGGCAACAAAGACAGGGATTAACCTTCTGTGTTTTATACTGGTGTTTTATAGTGCTTTTGGGGATTTTCAGCAAAATTTTCAGATTTAAATTTTCGGAGATTGCAGCTGTTATTCAAACGTAGAAAAACAATATATTCCTAATAGTTTTATAGATTTGGATAAGTGAGCTATAAGGAAAACTTTAAACCATACCGAATGGACAAGACAGACAGTTGGGTCTGAGTTGACGGATGGACAAAGGTACTTGAGTATTTAAGGTGTGGTGGTTGCATTGCAACATTTTCGATTTTTCCATCATGGTGATAATAAACACTGAATAAATTATGGACATAATAATGTTTGGTTTTTTCCTCCAAACCTATACAGACCTGATAAACAGTCAAATTCCTTCTTCTGAAATAAATACTCTGCAACAATTTACCTGCTATCCTGTTCCTGCTGTCCAGAAACAACACAAAAAAGTAACCAACAGAGAGAAAAGCTGGGCAAAAAAACCAAAACCTGTAGGGTTATTTAACAAAATCATTAAATTAATAAGGCGGGAGATGAATAAAGGATACTCGTTGTACAGTAGACTTGTGTCATCAATGTTAGTGTTGACTCCTTTACCCAGAGGTACTTGTACCCCATTCAAAGTGACGGAAGCATTCGGATCAGGAGCGGTTCTACCCAAGCCTGTAGGGATTGGAATTCATTAAGAATGAGAGTTTAAAAAAGAAGACAAAATAAACTGAATATAATCAACAAAACCTAAAGATCAAACCATTTGATTTCATTTGTAAAATGCATTAAAATGAAGGTTTATTACAGTAGAAGCACAATCTCACAGTAAAATCATATTACTTTATTAAAAAAAAAAAAACTATAATAAATCAATGGGTTTAGTAAAACCACCAGATCCAAACATTGGCACCATGCCTAAAAATGCTATTAAAATATAACTTCAGCATCATAATTTTCTAATTTGATCAGTGAGTTGAGTAACTATGGAAATGTATTGTATTGACATAGAAAAAAAAAAGTCTGTTTTAGACTAGTCCAGAAAAAAGATTTATATAATTTTTACAAAAATAGATAAAAATGTTCTGTTGTTCTGAATTAAAGTGATCACGCTGCTGATCATGATTTAATAGAGGATGTTCTGTTACTGTTTGCATTGCTGATTTCAAGGCAACTGACGCCTTTCATTTGGAGAAGCTTCAACATGTTATCCATGAAATTGTCCCGTCTCCTAGTTATGTAGATGCGATTACCATTAGTTTGTGGACTTGGTAGGGTTGTTTCCCCTTTCCTCTTCTCGTCACAGTTTAGCTTTTTTATTCAGATTTCCTTTTAAACTTATCTTGTGAATTCAATAAAAAAACAAAAAGAGTTTATTTTTTTCCCCCCTGGGTGAATGAAATATGCTTCCATATGAAACATTTATTTAATTTATATAAAACATCGTTCCCTTTGGCTATCATACTGGTCAGGCAGAGCAGGGCATTTCTAATGGTTATTCCTCAAAATAAGAAAAAAAAGATGACATTGTATCTGTGGTAGGAGAGGGTAAAAAGTAGAGGAAAAATACAGGAAAATAAAAAATAAAGATCAGCCGTAACAAGACTTAATACATGTAAGGAACCAGAGAGATTAGAGCAGAGCAACAGAGGGTGAAAAGACGAGAAGAAGGACTGGAGCAGAGATGAGGAGGTGCTTCTCTTTAAGAGTAACCAGGGTGAATAAGATCATGCAGGCGGCTCATGTTAGATGTTTTGGAGATAAAGTCTGAGGCCAGACTGAGATGGTTTGGACGTTAACAAAGGAGGAATAGTCAGGAGACCCAGAGGAGATTTACGGGTGGAAATGAAGGTAGCTGATGTGACAGAAAAAGATCTAGGGGACAGATTTAAGCCCAATTTCCACTACCCTTTTGAAACCACGCTGAGAACGGTCCGAGCACGGTAGCAGTTACCAGTTGAGTGTTAATGGAACACAGCTGAACTGGACCGTGCAGACACAACCAAACCGCCGTAATCTAGTACTAGTTCATCAGTAGGGCTCTGCACGGTTTAGATGTGGCTCGGTTCTTCAATAACAAAGAGCCTTGAGCAGACCACATCATCTCCTATTTACAGTAACCTGACTTATTTCGTGGATATTCTGCCGTGTCCAGCTTTGCTATTCACAGATCCCTTCCCCTGTTCACAACATAAACTTCCTTTCAGCCTTTTAACAATAAATGGCGTCAAAGAGCGTGGCGCGACCTGAGATGATGCCGAGACCAAGACTCTTATTAAAATGTTGGTGAAGGACGCTATCCAGGCACTTAAGTTCCTGAATGTAATGGGTGCCGCCATTTTAGTTTGCGTAATTTCCGCATTGAGAGTTGCAGTATCGTGGACCGCTGATAGGAGGCAAGGAACCCTGCTAGCGTGATGTGTAATGGGCTCTAAGAACCAAGCTAGGTACGGATCGGTTTCAGAGGGGTAGTGTAAATGTGGCATCTGATTGAGACAGATAATTCGCTGTGGGAAACCCTGAAAAGGAAAAGCTAAAAATCAGAAGATGAGTGTGATCTACATTAATCACCAAATAGCCACAAGAAAAAAGGGACTGAACTAAGCTAGGGATCATCTCTAATCAGAGCAGCTGGATGAGGAGTCTTTCCTTCCTACCACTCGGGAGTTTAACCTGCAAAGGTTTCTGCTGTCATCACAGTAATTCACATTTCACACTCTTCTTTACCAGGGGAGCTAATAAGTGTTAATCACCTGATCAATCCAGTGTAATAGTGAAGGTTCTTACCTTTAACGCTGTGTTTTCCCTTTGGTAATTTGGTGATGTGAGAGGCTTTCTTCAGCTCGTGCCTGCATTAGCAACAGTGTGTTAATTTAATCAGTTACATCAGCTGTGTCTTATAGCTGACTCTATATGTATGTTTAAAATCTTAGATTATGACTCACATGTTGCCTAGAGCGACCTCTGCCAGCAGAATGAGACCCACAGGGTCTGACTGAGAGGTGTGGCAATAGTTTGCACTCTTGGACACCATGTCAGCAAAGTACACACCTTTGCCGAACATGTAGCCGGTCTAAAGAGCGTGGGAAACAAAGTGTGATAAGAAATCAAACTAAAATAAAACAAAAGCTGTGAAGCTTTCTAACCAGCTGGAAGAAGATCGTCTCTAACTCACCACGGGGGCCTCTGGAGGAGCAATGCGGAGCCCCTGAGACAGAATACCAGCATAGTTGGTGGCGCGAGAGCCGTGCCACAGTAACTGCCGGTTGTGTAGCTCCTCGAATGGACGGTAGCGTTGGTGCTCTCCTTCTCGTGCAATTTTGAAAATCTAAAAGAGAATTCATTGTGTGGGAAAAAAGATTAACTTAAAGCGATTAGGTATTTTTATGAAGACTTATTTTAAAAAAAAAAAGAAGAAGAAGAGATTTAACAACGTACGTCTTGTACTTCCAGAGTGTAGGTGTTGTGAGTAGCAGCATGGGTGTTCTTAACGTATTGCGTGATGATTTCAGCCTCCTCTGTGGTTTTGTCAACAACCTGTACATCATCAAACCAGTTACTCTCTGTTTCACGACGGCAGAGATTCAGTTCATTAGAAGTTGTTTCAATTTATACCTCAATCTTAGTTTTAAGCTTCTCATAGTTGATGTCGATTGGATCGTGCTCATTGTCCTGAGCTCCTCCTCTCAGCAGGCTGTAGGCCACTTCGATATCCAAAAGGTTGTCCAACATCTCAACTTTAGCCTGAGCAGTAGCATATGGGAAAATCTGCATTAGCTTCCCATCTCAGAACTGATCTCTTCAGAGGGGAGGGCGATAGGAATAAATAGAGGGTTCACCTGGATGTAATCCAGGTTGTTGAGCAGAGGAGGTTTCTTCATGCCAAAGTCATGAGGAATAAGGGTGTAGAAGCGATTGGACAGATCCAGAATCTGGGCCTCCGGTACACTATCTGATACCGCCTATAAAAACAATAAGAACATTTTACTATTTAATTAAAGATACCTCTAAACAAACTGTTGCAAGACCATAAAAGTAAACCTTCGGTGAGAAATCCCAACAGGTGCAATAGATCAATATTTACTTATAAGAAGATCTTAAAAGGAAAGCTTAGACAGATGTTAAACCGTTAGCTGAAACATTCTGTCAGGTTTGTAGTCCAACTTTTATTCTACTGGCTCCATTTTGCCACTGAAATGCATGTTTTTCTTCAATGTTCTGTTCATGGTATATAAATAAACATTAATTTCTTTTCTTTAAAAAGCAAAAAAGAAAAGGATTTAAACATGGCAATAATGTTTAGAATAAAGCAGCTTATTTTAATAAAACTTTGGTCAAACCACAAAATTATCAGAATTTCTTTCAATATATATATATATTTTTTTTTTTTAATCATTTTGTGTGTGATAAAGAGGCTATATTGATGGCTGCAGCTTCCTGTCTGTGTGATCTTCTCTCAGACCGACAGCATGTAGGGGATGAACTGAGCTTTGAGCCTTCTCTTTAAGACATAACACAATTTAAGTAAAGCAGCTAATTCACCTTACTTTTAGCTAAGTTAGACATGATGAACTGGAAACAAATGCTATGACCTGAATTATCAACAACACATGATAAACAGGGGGTAGGACAATTACTTAATGAAAAATCCTCAGTAAATGTAAAAAAAATAAATAAATAAATAAATTTACCAGAGACTTGAAAGATCGGGCTTTATTACAAGATTTTAGCAGGTAGAACTGCTGCCTTGCAGCAAGGAGGTTCTGGGTTCGATTCCTGACCTGGGGTGTTTCAGCATGGAGTTAGCATATTCTCCCAGAGCATGCGTGGGTTCTCTCCGGGTACTCCGGCTTCCTCCCACAGTCCAAAAACATGACTGTTAGGTTAATTGGCTTCTCTAAATTCTCCTTAGGTGTGAGTGTGTGTGAATGGTTGTATGTCTTTGTGTGTCTCTGTGTTGCCCTATGATGGACTGGCATCCAGGGTGTACCCTTCCTCTGGCACATAGACAGCTGGAGATAGGCACCAGCATCCTTCACGACCCCGGCAGGGATAATCGTGATGGAGAATGTTTGGATGTAGGAATAGTTTTTGTTGATTTGCTGTCATATAAGGTATATTCTATTATTTTTGGACAAAAAATATTAATATAATAACTTTTTGTTTGCCATTTGTCAGCTGGAACTGTTAGCATCGACCATGATTTGACACAATCCAATGTGTTGGAAAAAAAAAAAAAGTGTTGGAAAAGGTCAAAATAAGCTGATTTTATCTGAAATCAAAGTACAGCTTTTGAATTTAGGCAAACAATCAGATCTAGTGTGTTTTTAGTCCTATGTTAACAGATTTAAATATACTTATTCCAAAAATAATAAAATAGCTAAAAATAAACAAACAAAAAACAACTGATTGAAATTCTCAGGGTTCCAGAACTAAGTGAAATCTTTAAAAAAATTAATAAAGATTTAAATATAATAGAAGAATCTACATTATTCTTGTTGTGACGCACTCTACTACTATTTCTAATTCCAAAGAGAAAAAATTAGACTAGATGAAGCATAGATAGGAACAGTTTATGACCAACCTGCTGTACTTCAGTCAGAAGAGCGTAGGCACTCTGGATTTGTCTCTTACTCAGCTTGCCAAGAGGCATTTTCTGGAGGTCGATCTGAAAATAGAGCAATAAAAAAAGTTAATAGATAACAGAATCAAGGAAACCGTCTATCTGATAGCCATTTTTTTAATCCAATAGCTCAGCTCCTTTCTGTTGGCTCTACTCGCCTCTTAGGCTTTTCCATTAGTAATGTTTGCAGGGAACCAGAACTATTTTGCTTGGATCCAGTTCCAACCATGATGAAGGCATTACACCACAAATATCAAAATATTAAATAAATAAATACTGGGCTTGTTCTGTATGTGAACGCTGTGGCATGCTGGGATTAGCTCAAGCTTGTATCCTTCTATTTGGCACCGCTACATGGATTAATCCCAGCTTTCTTTTAATTTGAGAATGACTAGAAGCCATTAACAGGGCAGAAAGTCCTCCATTGTTGCTTTGTGTCACATTGCCTTGCTATGACGAGTCTGCCCACACAACCGTGGTAGTCTATCATAACGGAGAGCAGAGCTGACAAAAACCAAAACGAGGTGAATAAAATTGCCACCAAAAGAAAGGGGCCATAATTTACAGTAAACGGGCAAAAAGAAAAAATGAATCACAACATGGATGAGTTTACAAAATGGCCTCAGTGACAGGTTTTACTTCTGTTGTAACAAGATGAAATGGAAAAAAAATCCACACAACAAATGAAAAATGTCTGACATTGGAAAAGAAGCCGTACCTCAAACTCAACCATGGCCTTCTTCATGCTCTCCACATCAAAGATCATCTTGATCAGATCCTGAACGGGTCTGTCTAGCTTCGACTTTGTGCCAGCAGAGGCCGTCAGCCGTTTCACCGCCTCCTCATCCTGCAGAGAAAATGTAAATCTAACTCTAAAACTGTACAGTGAGATTTGTTTCTGAAAGGGACCTGCGTTGGTACCTGGCCATAGTCGATTTCCAGAGGGTAGAACTTGTTGGGATATTTAGTGAAGTTTGTAGTTCCCCATTCGTTTCCAGTCTTTTCTTTATAAACAGTGAGGAAATTATCCATGGCAGAGTTCTTGTCGTGGAATTTCTCCAACTTGTTTCCTCCGATGGTGGTGCCCACTCTACCCCAAGACCTGAAAACCCAGTACCTACAAAACAGATGGGCACATGGGTTACAGCTGAAGCAGAGGGAAATGTCAGCCTAAAAACACCATTGATACCAAGCCATGATTACTACACTTAAAGAGATTCTACCTCTTGTGTACATCATCCTCCAGCAGCTGCAGCTTATAATAGGAGTTTGTTCCTCTTGCGATGTCAACAAGACCCAAAGTAGCACTGTATATCTTCCCGCTCTGCTCCAAGACATGGGCACTGTTTTCAAGGCCTGTTAAAGTCCATTAAAATAACAAGGAAATTAAAAAAAGGAGAATAGACAAAAAACAACAATAATAATAATAGTGAGAGGAATTTTCTCCTACCGGAGTCTGGATCCACGGCAGCTCCACCTTTGACTGTGAGCTTCATCTTCTTGGCTTTGCTCCCACCTGTAATTATTTGGAGTCAACTATGGTCTCAATCTTAAACTTTTGAAATCAACTATTGTTTCCATTGGGTATGGAAGGTGACAAGTGCCACAGCAGAATAAATAAATAAATAAATAAATAATGAAACAATTATTTAAATGTTTCATTAATTTAGACCTAAAGGCAATATTTTAGTTTTAAATAAATTTCTAAAACGTGATTTATTTACAGAACACTAGATGAGCAACTGAGAAGGTGATCCGGCGTTTGTCAGGGGGCGGGGCTAACTTTGATTTAGCTTGTGGGTCGTCAACCTGCGGCTCTTTAGCGTCCCTCTTGCAAAAATTTATGAAAATCGATTTTTTTGTTCGTTTTAAAATGGTGTGCAGAAGATCAAACAAACATTAATTATGTTTTCCAATGCTGTAAACATTTGTATAATAAATAAATGTATACAATAAATTGCGTCATAGCCATAGAGATCAGTGGTCATAACTTGCAACCAGCGTGGCGCGGTGCCAGGCAAACAAAGCTGCAGGTGTGTCTCGGACCAAAGAGGAAAAAAGAAAGGTTGCTGATGAGAAAAGAGGATTAAAAAAATGGAGCAAATCATTTGCTTTCATTATCAATGCGGAAGGATTGCCTGAATTTTTTTGCTTTGTAATGAGAGGTTGTCAAAAAATAAAAATTTGGAAAGGATTTACCAGGGAAGGCTGCTAAATATGCAGCCGACCACCAAGTTGGGAGTGAGAGAAAAAGTGCGATTGCAGAACTTCTGGATAAATTAGAGGAGCGCAAAGAATGATTTAAGAAGTGGATTGTATCTTCAAACTCCACTATTGCTGCTAGTTTTGTTGCAAGGATGGAAACCCATCCACAGATCAAACATGTAGCGCTCTGATGCAGGGATGGGAACTTTCTTCTATTTTTTCCCCAGATCCTAAAAATATAAACCAAGGAACGCTGGTGACGGAGGATGTGAGGTTTTCAGGGTTAGAGAGCTCTGCTCTGATGGATGTCAGTTCCTGCTTGGTTCCTCATGACTCAATCAACTCATCCCAACAGAAACACGTCCACCATACAAAGATTCCTTTATCATGTTTCTATAATTTTATTAATGCAACAAAATCTAAACTGCGCAGTGAAAGGTGGTGAAGCAGCGAGTGATGGGAGCGTTCGGTGCTCGTCCCTCACCTCATGCTGCTATGTGACATTTGCTCAAGGATAAAGATTTAATCATGAATGCTTATTATATATTAAAGCCCACATAGTCCTTTTCTATAGTGGGATAATACACTTAGAGCCCGTGTTGCCATATTAGGCATATATAATACTTTTACATTTTTGCAGCTCGAGACAGATTTTTTTTTTTGCTCCAATATGGCTTTTTTAAGCAGTTTGGGTTGCCGACCCCTGATTTAGCTGAACTCTCTGGCATCTCCCACCATGCCAGACTATGGCAAGCTCTCTTGTAAGTGGACATATTTTAGACCAAACTACAGTTACACAGTCAGGAGTGGCTCAACCAGTGTCCTGCAAATGAATTGGAACACCTTTTGAATTTATTTCCTACTTTTTTAGTGATAATATTGACTTTCTTTAAAGGAAAACCACAATGAAGTTGCCTTGCCTTGCTCAGTTAGAAGCAGCCAATTAGACATCAGGGTTTATTTGAAAGTGGCTCTAGTCCCGCCTTTTTGACTTTGATGGATATGTGACAGTTTAAAATAAATCATGGTGTGCTTCAGCAAAGGAACATTATAAAATAATGAAATAAATATATGTACATAATTAAATATAAAGCTATCAAATAAATTGTGTATTTATTTCCAGGTTTAATAAATTAATGATAAATTTAGATAATTACTTCATAAGGTATTTATTAATGTGTTGTGTCACTCGTCACCCTCCATACTTTAGCACCTGGAAATGTATTCCCCCTCCCACTCAAAAAGAGAGGCTTTAATTACAATACTGGAATTTAATCAGTAAGAAACAGACAAAATGATCAATAAACTCTATATTGTGAAATAACTGATATACATATAATAAATAATATTCTGTCAATGACAACTTCACTTTCTAAAAGCTGCAGCAGGAGCAGCTGTCCTTTAGCACTCTCACAGCTGATGAAAAGAGCAAAACGCTTTATTTACCTTCCTCCTCCTTTACCCTGCCGGTACTCTTAGCAGCCAGGGCTCCAGATTTGGAGGCCACAGCTGGAGCCTGAGGTTCAACTTTAATTTCCGCTCCCCATGGTGAGATGGCGTGTAGAGACACCAGCTCCTGAAGAGCTTTGCCTGATGACTTGATGTCTGTGAGGAAGTCTTCAGAGACCACGCGCACGCCTGCATCTCTGACTTCCTCCATCTTCTTACCCATCTTCTCAACTTCATCTGAAAAGAGGATTAAAAGTAAATATAAATATAAAAAAAAATCAACATATTTAAGACTAAAAATAAGATACAGCCCAAGGTAACTTATTACTCACTCTTAGAGCTGAGGCAGAGAGAGGCCTTACTGGCGGTGCCTGTTATTTTGCCTCCCATCTCTTCCACTGCAGCTTTTAGATCTTCTTTGTTTTTGGATAATTTGCCAATAGCCAGCAGCTTCATACCAGTTAGAGGTTTGTCTACAAAATAGAACATCAGTTTCAAAAAATAATTCATTTGAGAAGAGTAAATCCATATGAACCTAACAGAAGTCAAAGGTAAGGAAAAAACGGTGTTGACTACACACCGCCAGCGTTGGGCTAAATGAGGGATGTTTTCCTGCTGGAACATTTGCTCCACTCTCAAAACTTTTGCACCCGACTTTCCTTGCAGCATTGCTTCACATTTAGCGTCAACCCTTCCTCCCATAAAGTCTGAGCAGCCTCCCTGTCATCACTGAAAAAACATCCCCACACCATGATGCTCCCACCTCCATGCTTTATGATAAGAACGGGTCATTTTTCCCCCAAAAAGAAAAAAACCCAAAGCATTTTGCATATCACAAAAAATGTATAAAAAAGAAAACTGTTCAAATTACCTCCAGCAGAAGCATTTCAAGAGTCCTTAAGACTGCTGTGGCAAACTTTAAATGTGAATTCTTACGTTTTTATTCAGTGTGGGATGTTAAAAGCTAATTTTAAGTGAGTTTAATCAAAGTTAATCAGATTACAGGGGGTTCCTCTCTCTACCATATTTTCCTGTTTTTTTTTCTTTTAATAAATTGAACATCTATGTCACTTTTCTTTCACTTCCCAGTTATGTAAAACTAATCGGAAATAGTGATTAAAAACAAAAACATGTAAAGGGCATTAGACATGTCAGTGTGTATTCTCTGACCTGATGGCGCTGCCTCTAGCGGGCGCTCAGTGGGAGCACTAGAAGCACTCGCCTGGGATTCCGCCTTCACTGGTTGCAGGGTTGGAGTGGGAGCCTCCTGGGAGTAAACCCTGTCCTGTCGCTTGAACTTAAACTTCTTTAGAAAAGGGACTTCATGGAATTCCTGAAATGACGTGAAAAAAACGAATAAAAGGAAAAAAAAAAGATTAGTCCGGATAGTAGATAAAGTGAATCAAATATTTTTCCAGACTCTTGATTTATTGACAAGAATAATGACACCAACATTTTAACCACATTTTGCTGAGGTAAGCAGGTTCTCCATCATCCACCTTCTTCTTCTACTTCACACTGATAGTAAATACCAATAAATACACACTGAAAGTAGTAATATCATCACTATGGAAACCTTTGATAATAGTGATTCACCTTAGGGATGAGCCAGTCTTTTCGTGCCGGAGTCTTGGTTTTGTACACACACTTGGTCCAGGCTGAAATGTCTCCACGACAGTAATAAGAGTCTCCTTTAAACACCAGCTGGCCCTGGCACTCCTTACAGGGTTCGAGAGCTCCAAAGGCCATGCCGTCAGCCAGGCTGTCCAGCACCTGAGCATAGATGAAGACCCAGACCCTCAGACATTTAGAGAAATCAGTTTTAAACACATATGCGTTAAATTTACAAGTTACAGCTCAATCTAAAATTCTCATTAACATTGGTGTACCTCTTTGTCTGATTTTAAATTGCTTCTAAAAACTCATCTTTTTGTTCTGGCTTTCAAAACTATGTGAGATGTTGATTTTGGCATGTGATCAATTATTTTTACTTTATTATAGGTTTTAGAGTTCTGATTTCAATTTTGTTATGTCTTTTATGTCTTGTAATGTTTTATGTTGTTGCACTGTACATTACTTTTAAAGGAATTTAAAGAAATGTGCTTTATAAATAAAGTTTGTTTGAATTGAAATATATAGGATGTGAAAGAAGCCTTAAAATAGTAAACTCGCTCCCTTTTTCTCTCCTTTTTTATGTTCTGAGGTTTAGGAGTTGATATTGCAATAAAACATTTTAATGGACATTTTAAGAGAGAAAAGGAGATCCACAGCATAATATATCCTCTACCGTGTGTAACAGGTGGTGTTATCATAGTTTTATCCTTTAATTCACACCAGGTCTATCAGGATTATTTTTTGCTGTTGTTGCTGAAAACTCGATCTTATTTTCATCTGATCCAAGGACAAGATTCAAGCTCAATTCAGGTACAGTAAAGAAAACTGCATGTTCATGTTTATGATGGTTTTTATTTTCTTGAATCCAACTGCTTTTAATGTTATTTCTTGTTTCTGCATCTTTTTTAATTATTTTTTTTAAATTATTTTTTCTTCTACTTGCTCTGATTCTGTTTTATTTTCTTATATTTTCCACTGTCAGTTCAAGGCATGTTATAGAGTCTCTATACTCCAGTTAACGATTAATCGATTCCTAAATTAGTCAACAATTATTTCAATAATCAATTAATCGGGATTAATCTGATTGTTTCCGACCGATTGAAGACCAAAAGAATCTGGGATATTTTCCTTGTTTTGGTTTCAGAATTAGTGCGTCTATGTTCCAAAATCTAAATTAAGTCACAATCTTTGAAATCAAATATAAAGCTTTTTTTCGATTCCGTTTAGACTGGATTAAGGAACTTCAATGCAAGATTAGCTCATTTTAGGATTCCTGCATGTCTACTAAGGGTGCCAGTGAAGCAGACTGGATAGTTATGCAGTACAATGGATTTCTAACCATTGCGTGAATAATAATTAAAACTAATTATTCAATTCAAAAGTATGTTTATGGTTTCAGTTAAAGGCAGCAACTTTATGTTATGTTCTTACGTTGGACTCTCCGGAGGGAACATCCTGGCCGTTTGCAATCAGCAGCTCCTTCATGTCGTTGACTGAGCAATGCTTCTTCAGCTTGTCCTTGATACCCCAAATCAGCTGGCTCTGATTCTAATTACACATGCAGATGATGTGAACATTAACCAAATGTGTTTATTAAGGCCAATGATCTGTAAACAAAGTGTAAAACCTTCAGCTGCTCCTCCAGCTTCTTCCTCTCCTCCTCCTCCTCTTTCTTCTGTTTCTTCGACGCCCCGTCCACCTCATCGGATTTACGCTTTCTGGGGAAACAAACCCAACTTCAGAAAGTTTTCAAAGCTCAGAAAGGACGCAGGATAAGGTCAGACATCATCATCCATTACTTCCTAAATGAGGCACAATGGGACAGAGCAAAACAACAGAGGTGAGAAGCAAACAAGGCTGAATCCGACACCTTTATCCTTCATCAACACTCGTTCATTAGGGCCTCATCAGTTAATGGACAAGGATCCAAACACAAGCTGGTGCATGTCAGTGCTGATCCCTGATGATGTCCAGACAGGAATAATGGCCATCCCACTGAGACCATTAGACCAGAGGTAATGATCCCCCTTGATTTATTTCCAGTTCGAGGGAAAAACAAGACAAAACCTCCCTGATCAAACACAGCAGATGACATCAGGGGTAAAAAGGAAAGTTGTTTAAATTAGGATCCTGCAGATGTGTTTTAATTGAAGAAGGCTGTCTAGAGGACACCAGGGACGATCATAAAAGAATGGGTAAGCAACCGCTCAGCTGGAAAGCATTAAATGATCATTAAACTTCATCACGCTTTGCTTCAATGAAAAGAAATGGAAAAGAAACCTCAGAATGCAGCTATCTTAAAGCATTATAGACGTGCTGTTTTAAAGTTCTTTCCTCATCTTGTTTATTTTTCCACTTCCAAGTCCTGCAAACCTCTTAGATCTGTTTGCACCTCCAGCTAAAAAAATCCCCCTTCATCTACAATCGGAGCAGCGTTCAGGAAGATCTGAGGACTGCTGTAAGTTTGGATTTCTCTATACTAATACCTCTAAGCTTCAGTCTTATTTTTTTATCAGTTTTCTTTTATGTGCATATTTGGTTTTGGTTTGGTTCCATTACACATACGGTTATTTTTATTTTCCTCATAACTTTTATTGTTTTTCATTCAACTTCTAACACCATTTTACAGAAACATAAATATTTCATTCATTATTTTAAAAGATTTTATTACATATTTATTTTAATACATTTTTGGATGTTTCTTCATTAAATGTCCTCACTTTTAAGTTTTTAGTATTTTCTTATTTTATTTCCTGATATACAAACATACATGCATTAACATAACAGGTGAGAAGGAAAAACATTCTGTTTTTTTTTTTTTAAAGAGGCCGTAACTTTAAATCCAACCAAAATATTCTACAAGATTATTCAAACCTTTACAGGAAACCTCATCCCTTATGGAACAGATTTTTGCTTAACTTGACAATGTGCATCAAAGTGGAGACTGTTAATGATAATAATTGGATGAAAAAGAAAACAAAAGGTGTTAAATAGTAATTAGTGCTTTTCTTCTGAAGGTTTTTAGATTTCATCTTTGGCCGTCTAATAATAGATTTGTTTTATGTGCTTTTTAATCATTCCTTTTTTCCATTTCTGCTAACATCATGCTTGTTCTTTGTTTTTATATTCACCACAAACTTTTCTCTCAGTTCTTGTGGATGTTTTGTCATCAACCAAAACAAAGCAGTCCCTTAAAATGAAAAAAAATGGCATTTTTAACACATAAGAACTGTATAAGGTGTGGCATTTGTTTGTTGTAATTTACTTTTATATTCGTAAGAATTTAAAGAACCAATTAACTTGAAGAACTATTAATGATTTATTCTATTAATGTAGAGCATCTATATAGTTCTCAGAGGTTTTATCTCCTCATGAAGACTTAGGAGCTGAGCAGAAAGCAGACTTGGAGAGCTTTTCCATCTAAATATCAAAGATTACTGCACAACTGCAACCAGTTAAGGAGATTGATGAGGAGCAAAAAGGCTAAAGGTAAGCATAGCTAAGGTGTGAGACACGATTGACAGGAAAACTAGGATTTGCAGCTTTCCAATGTGGCTTTAATTAAATTACAGGAGGATAAACTGTTGAAGAAAAGCTAGAGGACTCACTTTTACATGAAAGGAAGTTTTATTTTTAAATCCCATGCTGTGGTGGAAAATTACGCCCTGATAAGCACTACTGTGGGGATGCTTTCCTTCAGCAGGTAGAGAAGCAGGTCAGAGCTGATGAAGGTAAATAAACGGGGTCAACCTGGAGGAAAACCCATTAGAAGCTGCAAAAGAATCAACTTCAGGCAAGAAAAAGAACCACAACATGGAGCTAAAGCTTCAGCTGAGGATTTATATGCTGGAATGATCTAGAGAAGGAGGTTTGGAAACATTTAAAAACTGGTGTTCATTGATCAGGGGTTGACGTTAAGGATTTTTACCACTTAGTGACTTTCACATTTCATTTGCCAAGAAACAATTTTTACTTGCCCAGTATAATGTTTGATAAATATAGTTCCTAATATTCATTTTTGTATATATATCAATGAAACATGTTTGTTTTTAAAAAATGTTTTTTTGTAATTCAGTAAGTTTTAAGTTTTTTTTGTGTGTATATGCATGCGTCAGATAATGAACTCAAGCCTACATTACCGTGTCAACATGCTTTTCAATCCTTCCTGCTCATTCTTTTCAAACTAAACTTTGCTTTAAACTGTTGTGTGCTTGGAAAAGTATAAATTGCAATGTTAAAAATCTAAAAAAAACTTGACAGGTTAAAAACTAACACTACTACTACTCAGCAATTTAACATGTTTAGCTCTTAATTATTATTTTCCTAATCCCTGACTGATCATGTTTAATCTAGCGTGTATTATAGTATAGATTAAATTCATCATCCAGCTGCTGCTCAGCAGAATTCTCTCCCCAAGGAGAGAAAAATCATGCCATCTAGCGGAAAATCACGCGGCTTTTTCACATCACGCGAGAATGTGTACAAGACAACAAAAATGGCGCCGGCAACGCTTTTGGGTTGTTTTCAGCGAATGTCTGTGATTTTAAAGTAATTTTCAGTAAAAAAATTTTTTTTGCGATCATTGCACTTGCCCGGCGGACAAATGCAATGAAATTTGTACTCTCCCGACAATAAAAACTACTTGCCCCGGGCGATTGGTCAATGGTTAACATCGAGCCCTGTTGATGCAGATGGTGAATCTAGAAAGAACGGACTCAGAAAAAATACAAACAGATGCCACACTTTGTAGATGTGTTAAAATGTGAAGCCCTCTTCTTCATTGCATGTGTCCATGAACAAACTTTGGTTAGACAAAGAAAAATATGACTCAGCTATCTCACTGATTTCTCTTTTATCTGTTTTTAGGAGAATAATGGGGAACCCTCTGACTTCATGGTACCACCATGATGTCCAACACAGCCCCCCCTCAGCTCGTCTAGATCCCCTGAATTTCTCATCTGTTTCCATGTCACCGCCTCCATCTGCTGATGTGGTGACTCCCCCAAATGTGCCGTACATGACGGCTGAGCTCATCATCGCCTTTTTATCGACTCTGGGTAATTTGCTGGTCTGTGCTGCCGTGGGTCTCAACAGCAAATTACGCACAGTCACCAACTACTTCCTGGTGTCGCTGGCGGTTGCGGATATCTGCGTGGGTATGATCGCCATTCCTTGCGCCGTCCTGACAGGCGCTGGCTTACCTCGTTACAACCTCTACCTTTGCCTCCTCATGCTCAGCGTTCTGATCATGTTCACTCAGAGCTCCATCTTCAGCCTCCTGGCCGTAGCTGTAGAGCGCTACGTCGCCATCTTCATGCCTTTCCGTTACCGCGTCCTGATGACGCCTCGGAACGCAGTCCTAGTCATCCTCGCCACATGGTTCCTGGCCTTCCTCATCGGGCTGGTGCCGCTCATGGGCTGGCACAAGACGCCGCCCGACTCGGGCTACTGCTTCTTTGTCCTGGTGGTGGACATGACCTACATGGTCTACTTTAACTTCTTCGCCTGTGTGCTGGCGCCTCTGATTATCATGTTTCTCATCTACGCTCAGATCTTCGTCACGGTCAAGCAGCAAGTGCGACGAATAGGCCCGGATCAGCGGAGCAGAGCAGACGGCCAGAGCCGAGCGGCAGCCAGCATGCGGAGGGAGATGAAGATGGCCACCTCTCTCTTCCTGGTCCTTTTCCTCTTCACGGTCTGCTGGATCCCTCTTCACATCATTAACTGCTTCCTGCTGCTCTGCCCTAGCTGCCCCGTGCCGTTAGAGCTGCTGCTGGCCGCCATCATCCTATCGCACGCCAACTCTGCCGTCAATCCGTTCCTTTATGCATACACCATGACAGCTTTCAGGGACACTTTTAAGGCCATTTTCTTGTGCTGCACGACGTTCAGAAGCAGAGACGCGCCAAACTTGTCCGACAGAGGAGAGGAAACAAATTCAAGGCCTAAAAAGTGATCCTGTAGATATTTCTTTGCATTTTCCAATCAAAACATACTAAATTAACCCTTAAGAGGGCACTAAGTGAAATACTCTGAAAATCTAAATTTCAAGCCAGTAGTGTTATTGGAATCCAGGACAAGATCCCATTACCTTTGTAACATTATAAAACTATGGATATTTTGATAATAAAAATGTATGTCAATGTGATCAAAAGAACAGGGTTCCTACAGCATAAGGCAAGTTAAATTCAAGACTTTTTAATGCCACTTGAAATAAACATTTATGACCAAATTCACAAGAAACACTAGAAAAACCTGCTTGCGACAACTTAACCCAAAGGTTTATTTCAACATAAACCACTGCACTAATGTTTCAACTTTTGAAAAGCTTCCCATACAGGAAGAAAGCTAAAAACACACAAATGACAGATATATTTTAAAAATTATTTAACTGAATTCACAAACTTTGTTTTAGCAGGGAACAAAACAAATCAGTTTTAAAGCCACAACATAACCAGTGCTAAGTCTTTTTTGCAGCTATTTTTCTTTGTATCGTTTTCTTAGTATGTTTGATTTGGTGATAAGTGGAGGCGTTGCAGAGACAAGGGTGGAACTAAACTGAGAAATACCGGCTGTTTCTCGGTAACTCGATTTTGACGCTTTGTGTTTCGCGCTTCGCATGTGCGACTCCACTGCCTTAATCCCCATCGTTCCGAGCTTGAATGACTTCTTGCACAAAATCCACTGAGCCTCATGTATGTTCCCTGGTTTTAGCCATGGAGAAAACTCTTGGCTGGATAGACAATTTTCGTTCCCTTAACACTTGCTCATATTTTCCAGACAAAAAGTTAATGGTGCATCTCCCAAATGTCCCGGCCGCAACAACGCTTTTTTGGTTCCGCTATCGGGACGGAACCAATAATGGCGAGCCTTTATTTTATTTTTTTTATAAAAAAATGTTTTCAATTTTAATGTTTTATTTATATAACAAAAACAAATCGTAATAAAAATAATCCTATTTATGACGTTTTAAAAAATAAGACCTACGAAAGACTGATTTAAGACATTTTAATACCACTTAATGGCCTTAGTTTTATTTTGAAGAATTCAATGCCTTTTAGGACTTTTTAAGGACCCGCGGGAACCCTGAAGAAATGCCAACTTGCCTGAATACATTAAGAAAAATAACAAAAGTGCTTCTATAAGAAATTCCGAAAACCACTCTAAGAATTAAAGAAACATGTTTATTTTCAATTAGCTCTTTACCTTTTTTCTCGACTCGTTAACTTTTTTTTAAAACTTAATTTACAGTAGGTAATCTATCATTCAAGGGCTCATCTAATTGGTCAAATGCCAGAATAATATGTACAGCCATGTAGCAGCATCTTTGCTGAATGGCTGGATATAGATCTTGTGTTTCTAGACCTCACTGTAGGACGGGGGGACTACATCTGTTAGGAGTATGCAAGTGATCAAAAACAGTAACCTGCCCTATAAAGGGAAAAAAAAAAAGATTTTGCCTTGAATTTATAACCATTGTTCATATATGAATAGAAATCTTACATATCTAAACAGAGGACATATTGATAATCCGGATGGACGTGATGATGGATGGATTAATAACACTTCAGAAATTCAGACATTTACAATATGGACATTAGGGCTGCAAATAACGATTATTTTGATACTTGATTAATCTGTTGATTATTTTCCCAGTTAAGCAATTACTAATCAGATAGTTAAAGGTTCCTTAAAGAAGACTTTTTTAAAAGAATTAAACCAGGTGATACTAAAACTTTTCTACTTGTTGACTTCTGGATTTAAAGTATTGACAGATAATTAAGTTTTGTTTATCTTACATTTTTTTATTACAATTTTGGAATAATTGTTACTCTTGGTGGGATGCTCTGTGATCTTAAGGCATGTTTTAGAGTTTCTAAACTCCAGTTAAGTATTAATCAATCACTAAATTAGTTGAGGATTGTTTCAATAATTGATTAATCACGAGAGGAAAACAGGAATAAAATCCGGGAGATCCTTTAAATCCAGACTATCGGTCTCCGCCAAGTGACGTCAATTGTTTACCTCGGGCGGGTTACACTACGCCTTTTCCACCTAAAATGGCGTCTTATCAACAAATGTCACGTGACTGGCGGAGACCGATAAGGGAATCCTGTTCGTTATTGTTTTTCTCACCCTTCAGATTTGACAGCAGGCAGCCGCTTCTTCAGCTCCTCCTTATCTTCTGCCCGTAGCCCGTTGAAGCCCTTCAGCTGGGCGGCGCTGTATTCAGGCTTAAAGAGCAGCTCCTCCCTGCGGCTCACGAAGCACGCCGTGTGGTACCAGCGGTCGATCAGGCCCAGCTGAGGCTTCTCTGGGTCCACAGTCTTCTTGGACACCCGGATCTGGTCCTAAACCAGAAAATGTGGTGAATTCACTACAAAGCGGCTGAAGGTCGTTAATCGCTTCATGGGAGCAGCACTGGTGCAAACCTTTTCTATTTTCTGCTCGCAGCCTTTGCACGTGCTGCGGTTGGATTTGGCATATTCCACCGCAAAATCATTCAGCGTCTTCTCTCCTGCGGCGGCACTCTTCTGACCACCTTTTGCTGCAGAAATTATGGGTGTCATAAAAAGCATTTAACTCAGTCCAGCAGAAACCATAAATGTGAAAAACTAATTATCAGGACAAAAGAGTCAGCAGATGATATTTGCTTGTTCTTCTTTAGTTTATTCTATGCCGTCTTCATTAAATAAATGAACCAGACAGCCTCTGCTTATAATGATTAAAACTCCAGCATCTCCACAAACCGAGCACTGACCTATCCCGACTGCTCCGCCGCTCTCGATGGCCTTCTTCACCTTTTCCTGGTCCTCCCAGCGCAGGTCGGAAAAGCCGGCGATGTCAGCCGGTGACTTTGCCGCCGCTCGCAGCCAGAAGCAGGAGAAGTGGTGCCAGTGGGGGACCTTCCCGTCAAACATGGGCGACTGGAGGACAAACATCAAACGGCGTCAGCAGCATGTTTACACGTAAGCGACCGCAAACATCAGAGATGGTGGAAAATAATTATGTGAACTTTGCAGCGAGGAGACATAATTACACAGGAACGTATAAGGTCTAACAACAAGGAGTCAAAGGGATTGATTTTCTTATTATTGGAAGATTTATTTTATACGTTTTAAAGGACCTTATAAAAAAACATCCCATCTAGCTCTATAAATTCCAGAAATAAATCATTAAGAGTTTTCCAAACTGTTAAACATGAAGGATTCCTGGTGTTATTTTTCCAAAACAGATTAAATCCAATCAAATTTAGCTTTTATCTATAAAATCCTTAAAACCAGAACTCTAAATAATAATTTATATATTTTGCATTTTAAATTGAAAGAATTGCTTGATTTAAGTTTAATAGATGATGTTACAAATTAAGAAAATTTTATGAAAATAAACGCATCGAGACCAAAAGATCCAGAGATGGACTGGGTTCAAATCAGCGTGATCCAAACTGGCAGGTTTAAAGTTATAAATGGTTAAACGTGGAACATTGATAACTTTAAAGTTATCACTAAACTTTAAGTCATAATAATTTTCGATATATTGAATACTGTAAATATTTTAAATAATCTTTTCATATAAATCAGTTGTTTCTCAAATTTAAAATAGTAAAAAGGATTTCCATTGCCATTTCTTTGCTTGCATATTTTCTAAAAACAAAACTTATATACTAGTTATTTTACTCACAGATAAACTTAAATCCTTCACACTGAAGATTTGGGCAGAAAACTGATATTTACTGCTAATTTCTACCTCACAATTATTTCCTTATCCTTTCCTTTCCTTATCCTCCAAAAAAAAACCAAACACCTCACTTACATTTCTTCTCTGCGTCAGTTTAACCCTGCGCTGCAGCACTATAAGCTGTTGTTAATAAAGGCCTAATTTCACTCACTGACTGTTTTAGCTACTGGTATGCTAATATACGTCTAATATCAACGTCAGTGAAATATCTTGGATCTATAATGATAGTGCTTTATAATTGACAATGTTCAGTCAGGTTTATTCATTATGTTAGGAGCCAATCAGGTGTTTGCAGAGCAAATATTTAGACAGAACCAAACTCTTTTTTGTTAAAAAAAAAGAGGCAGGGGGTTTCACTTTACCAAAATAATATAATAATAATGAGACATGTGATGGGGGAAAAAAATCTAAATATTACCCAATTATACTTTTGTACACTGCAATTTTTACAAGCATCCAAATGTTATTAGTTATATATTAATTATTAGTCATTTTCACTAAAGTTGATATAAATAAATCAGCCTGATAAAATAAAAAATAAAAGATAGAATTACATGAACAATTCAATTCAGTTTATTTTTTCACAACGAGTCATCTCAAGGCACTTTACAGTTCACCAGATCATGCAGTCAAATTGATTCAAAGTTTTCTATCTAAGGAAAACCAGTTGATTGCCTCGACTCATTGACTCGAATGCAATCCCTCACACTAAGCATGCGTATAGCAACGGTGGAGAGGAAAAACTCCCTTTTAACAAGAAGAAACCTCCAGCAGAACCAGGCTCGGTGTGACCTAAATGTATTATTTTCCACACAGAATGTGGTTATACATCCGATTGGTCCTACAGGGTCAGTAGATGTGGAGGAGAGGAAGAAAATATTCACGAATTACTGCTAAAATAAACTAAAAAACTGGAGATAAGAGCTTAATCATTAACCTTATTCAGACTGCTGACCTCTGATTGAATCTGGACTAAATGCTGATGAAGGTTCTCAGTCATCCAGGTCATAGTCATCCTGTAAAAATTAAAAAAATATCCACTGGACTTGGTTTTCAAGATTTGAAACGTTTCGCCACCTCTCCAGGAAGCTTTCTCAATTCAAATGTCTGGATCCGCAATGAGTTTGAGTCTTTAGACAACGCCTTGTATCGCTTGGAAGCACGCAATGGTAACCGATGAATGGGTCGTTAGTTCCATCGTTAGCCTCTAATATCTGAACCTGTCTATGATTCTAGGGGTCGGTCGTTAAAGGGGGGATTGCCATTAAGGGGGGG